GGAAAATAAACTTGAACTGCGCGGCCGCGAAATACTGAAAATTTGTCCAAAACTAAAACATAATTTTTCCCCTAAACTGCAAAATCTGGAATGCAAACTGGAAAATCATCACTTTGGAAGGTTTCTAATTTTGCCGGGTATATTTTAACCGCCTCCCGGTTAGCTCAATGGATAGAGCGCTGGACTGTTGTGCGGGAGGTCGAGGGTTCGAGCCCCGGCCGGACCAACACTCAGGGTCTTAAAATAATTGAGAAGAATTTGCTACCTTTCTATAACATCAAGAAATGGTTAGATATTCTAGTCTTCTCGGATAGGGACGAATAAATGGAGGTCCCGTCTCCTGCAGGGTTGGGGTAGGAGACGTTAATTTCCCACACACGAGATTACTGTGTGATGGATGTCCTCCCCTGGGGTGGGATGGGTGGGATATTGGGCGCACTTAATTTGGAGCCTCGCTCTGTTGTGCGACCCTCACCACACTCTGGTGAAAGTGATTAAATAAATAAAAATTAAATAAAATAAAAAGGCGTTGTAAGATTCTTATGATCCCCCCCTCCCCCGTCATTGGCAGTCAATCAATTTTCGACTGTTCTCCACCTGTTCCCACTGAAAACCACGTGATTCTCCTAACAATCCTTCGCTTCCACCTCCTCCCCTCTGGCGAATCATAATTTGCTTCTTACTCTCGCCAAGACAGGAAAACATCTTAAGAAATTTTGTTTGTTTTTTGGCGAACAGCCCCTTTTAATTCCTGTATCGAAATAATGTAGTTTCCGTACAAATAGCCAGAAGGTGCTCACATTCGTGATTAATGCAATTTTTTTTCTCCTTGTCGATCAGGAGCCTGGATGCTAGGTCCGAATCAAAGATGTACATCGGAACCAATCACATCTCTACCCGCGCACTTGAGGGTAGCCCTTTACATATTCTTAAAAAATCAGAACAAAACTTTGAAGGTTGCAGAAAATGCAATGAAGATACTGCCAAAATTTCGAGAAGGAATCCAACAGTACAAATTTAACCTGCAGAGGGGTGTGGCATCTGGAATGATCCGTTCTAGAAGCGAATGTGCCGAGGGCCTTAACTGCATGAAAGGAAAATACCGTGATCTTTTTACGCGCAAATCTCCCGAGGCTGTGCTATCCTGGTATGGAGTGCGCCGTGATATAGAAAACTTTGCGAGACACGTCAATATGCAAGATTCATCTTTGTGGATTAACAAGTACGGTAAAAACATGTCCGACTCTCTGACAAACGCTGTCGTCGAATTCATCGGAATGCCGTTGGTCAGTTTGTTTGATTATCTGGAAAATGATCACATGGCACACTGCGTGCCTAGCAATGTATCCAGTGGACTGGGAACAAGGCCTGTTGATCATGTGTATGTCAATGGTACAAAGACGTCAGTAAAGACAAATCAAACATTGGATGGAAAAGAAAGGATAATGAAAGGAAAAGATGCATATGCGGAAATTCTTTCGTATTTCACCACAACAAAGTATACACCAGGCAAGCATTGATTTTGAAAATTTTGAAATCAAACTAAGAGGCCGGCCCTTATTTATCGTCTTGGTGGGGGAGGGGGGCGAGGATTATGGTTGTGTCACAAAAAACTTACCTCCCCCCCAGGGTTTTCCAGTATTCTGATAATCCCAGTTTATTTTCTGTACGTACGCTATTATATTTTATTTGTCACGATAAAATTTAGCTGATCCCCCCCATAAAGGTTTGTAGTATTTTTATGATATCATCTTCATTGGCAGTTAATTGATAGTCAGTTTTCTACAGTCCTACCTTTATACTCTGCTGGCGAAGACTGATTGTCCTTCCGTTCTCCCTGAAAACCATGTAACCCCCCAAATCCTCCGACCCTCCCCCCCCCCAGGGCGATAAACTGGTCCATAAGTTAATGGTACTCACCATGTCAAAATCATTTTTACGAGTCAAGTAACCAAAGAAGTGCTGTGATCTATGAGATCCGTTTGTAAGGGTCGTTTTAGGCATTGGGAACTCAAAATGAACTGCAGTCTGACCCCACCCCGACTCTAACGATTAGAGCTTACCCCGAGCTCAGCTGGAAACGTTTCCTTTTTGCTTAACAATTAAGAGCTACTCACAAATTACCTTTAAGAT